TAGTCTAGGGCAGCCTTTTTAAAAGCCCACTGCTGTGGACTTAATTCCCATTCAGTGAACCCTATTCTGTAAGTCTTTTTTTTTTTTTTTTGATGTTTATTTTTTTAAAAACATTTTATTAGGGGCTCATACAACTGTTATCGCAATCCACACACACATCAATTGTGTAAAGCGCATTTGTACATCATTCTCAAAATTTTCTCTCCACTTAAACCTCCGACATTAGGTCCTCATTTTCCCCTCCCTCCCTGCTCCCCCCTCCCTCATGAGCCCTTGATAGTTTATAAATTGGTATTTTGTCATATCTTGCTCTGTCCGACGTCTCCCTTCACCCACTTTTCGGTTGTCTGTCCCCCAGGGAGCAGGTCACATATAGTTCCTTGCAATCGGTTCCCTCTTTCCTACCCATTCTCCCTTTACCCTCCCTGTTTCGCCACTCACACCACTGGTCCTGTAGGGCTCATCCACCCTGGATTCCCTGTATTTTCAGTTCCTATCTGTACCAGTGTACATCCTCTGGTCTAGCCAGACTTGCAAGGTCAAATTCGAGTCATGGTAGTGGGAGCGGGGAGGAAACATTTAGGAATTAGAGGAAAGTTGTATTTCTCATCATTGTTACATCGCACCCTGACTGGCTCATCTCCTCCCCGAGACCCCTCTGCAAGGGGATCTCCAGTGGCCTACTAATGGGCTTTGGATCTCCACTCCGCACTCCCCCCATCATTCACTATGGTAAGATTTTTTGTTCTGATGATGCCTTATACCTGATCCCTTCGACACCTTGTGGTTGCATAGGCTGGTGTGCTTCTTCCATGTGGGCTTTGTTGCTTCTGAGCTTGATGGCCGCTTGATTACCTTCAAGCCTTTAAGACCCCAGACGCTATACTTTTTGATAGCCGGGCACCATCAGCTTTCTTCGCCACATTTGCTTATGCACCCATTTGTCTTCAGTGATCCGTTCAACACCTCGTGATCACACAGACTGATATGTTGTTCCATGTGGGCTTTGTTGCTTCTGAGCTAGATGGCCGCTTGTTTACCTTCAAGCTTTTAAGACCCCAGACGCTATCTTTTGATAGCCGGGCACCATCAGCTTTTCTGTAAGTCTTAATGAGATCTGATAGCCTCACTTTTCTCCCATGCAACAGCTGGTGGGTTAGAACTGTTGCCTTGTGGGTAGGAGTCATTTACCAACAGTGCCAACAGGGCTCTTTACTGTTCTTCAAATCATTACATAAAAACCTTCCAAAAGTCGGTAGGCGAGGGTGAGTTTACTCGACTCAGCATCAAGAGTCTCAACTTCTCTCCGCTGCTTTGTAATACAGATCTGCTGAGGAAGACTCCTGAGGCCAAGATGCCCTTGGACATCAGCCCTTCTTTCTTTTCTTTTTTTTTTTTTTTTGCGATCCACTCACTTTATTGAATAGTGGCTTGGGGGCAATGAGGTCCGACGGCGGCAGTCCGACTGAATCTTGCAGCCGCCGAAAAGTCCCTTCTATCTTTCACAGACAAAGTTACCTCTCTGAATCTTGGCCTTCAGCTTGGCCCTCAGGTATAAATACTTCCAGGGCAGAAAGGAAGCGAATGATTTGAATGATTCTAAAGGCTAACAAATCATCTGGCAAGTCAGCTCTCTTTCCACTCAAAGCAATGGATGAAATTGACAATAATTTACAATTTAATGATTAACATATCATAATCTGCAATGTCTAATGGGGAAGTAAAAGCTCATGGAGAAAAAGACATGATGTATATACTTTCCATCTTAAAGCTTGTTTGTGAGCAAGCTATCAAAATAGTATTTAGCAGCCCCAATCCCAACTACGTGGACAGCCCCTCCTCCTCCCCAAAGAATTTACTTCAGAGGTCAGCACTGAAGCTGCAGCTCCGGGAGAGGGACATGTCTGATCAGAGCACACAGGAGCAAATGAAGGGGGAGGAGGAGAGAGAACATACTGGCCCACCAAGCCTTGAGGATGATATTCCCGCTCATAGCAGCCAATGCACAGAGAGGACTATATGGCCAGGCCCACTATGAGACATGTCATCTCTCACTTAACCACAGCCCTACAGGGGACAACACTGGAGACACGGTGTGGGAATTGCACCCCATCTGATCCCACCACACCAAGGCAAAACACTAAGGGCTTGCAAGAGAACAGCAAGGGGAGCAGAGCAAGGAAGTCCTGAGGGAGTACCAAAAATAGACTTTGGGGCCAGGGCTTGGTACCCCATCAGACTCGACTGGAAAACACTCCTAAAGGTCAACAAACAGACTTTGAACTATTTATGGGCTTTTTTTTTTGGCATGGTTTTCTTGTTGTCGTCATTTTGTTTTCTTTGCTTTGTCTTGTTTTTTTGTGTGTGTGCATATTACTATCTCTGCAGGTCTATCTAGATAAAATAGGCTGGATTAACAATCTGGAGGAGAAAACAATGGGACCGATGGTTGGGGGGTAGGGGTAAGGGACATGGAAGAGGAGGTGGTGAGGGAAAGGAAGTGGTGTTAACCAACCCAGGGACAAGGGAACAACACTGATCCAAAATCAGTGGCAAGCAGGGTGTAAGAGGCCTGGCAGGGATTGATCAAGGGCAATGTAACAGAGGAATTACTGAAACCCAAATGAAGGGTAAGGATGATAGTGGAACAAGAGGAAATAGTAAACAGTAAAAGGAAATAGAGGAAAGAACTAGGAAGCAAAGGGCATTTATAGAGGTCTATATACAGGCATGTACATATGTAAATATATATTTGATGATGGGGAAATATAGCTATGTGCATATATTTATAGGTTTAGTATTAAGGCAGCAGATGGACATTGGGGCTCCACTCGAGTGTTCCCTCAAGCCAAGAACACTCTGTTCTATTAAATTGGCATTCCATGATGCATACCTTCCCGACACGATTGCTGAGGACAAATGTGTGCATAAGCAAAGGTGGTGAAGAAAGCTGATGATGCCTGGCTATCAAAAGATATAGCATGTGGTGTCTCAGTTAGTGCACCCAGCAGCGTTGCATGGGAAGGCTCTCTCTGGTCACAGTGAATTTTTTCATATAAACAGTTTCGCTCAAATCTTGTTTTTTGTGATGGCTGATTTAAGAGAACAGCATGTGGTGGTGAAATTTTGTTTCCTGCTTCGGAAAAATGCCGCAGAAATGGTTGTGATGTTGAACACAGTTTAAAAGGACAGGCTATGCTCAAGAGTATGAGTGGTTTTCTCATTTCAAAAAAGGTGAAATGTCAATTAATGATAAACGTTGTTCTGGACTTCCTGATTGGTTGAAAATGTCGACTCATAGTGCATCTGGAGTTCATCCCACCAGGTCAGACTGTTCACTAAGCTTTTTAGTTAGAGGTTCTGAAAAGATCGTGTCACAGGGTGTGACAAAAAAGGCCTGATTTGTGGTAGACGGGGGACTGACTGGTTTTGCCACCACAACAATGCACCTGGCTCACGCAGCCATCTCAGTGCACCAGTTTTTGGAAAAACAGCATGCCTCTCTTGCCACACACACCTTACTCACCTGAACTTGCTCTGTGCAACTTCTTTTTGTTTGTGTGAATGAAGAGGGACATGAAAAGACAGCAATTTGATGACATAGAAGAGGTGAAGAAAAAATGAGAGAGCTGCTGTCAGCTGTTCAAACAGATGAGTTTGAAAAGTGTTTCCAAGAATGGAATTGCAGATTTGACAAGTGTATTAAATGTAAGGGGCAGTACTTTGAAGGTGATAAGGTTGCTTTGTAAAAAAAATTAAAAACATAGCTTTGAAAAAAAAAAAAACCAAACCAGATTCCAGGGTTTTTCGGGTATGTCAAATCTGGGAATAATTCTTATCTTCTACTTTGCTATGTCTTGAAGCAAGTACTGGTGCTGACCTTCACACACGATTTTCGTACTGCCCTCTCTGCACTAACCAGGCTCCCAGGGGTTCCAGTCAGGATCAGTTATCCTTCTTGTAACACTTTAATAAAACAAACAAAGTGCCCTACCAAAATCAAACCTGAAGTTCAAAGTAACAGTTGATCCCTTCACCCAACGCACCGACATGAAAGGTTGAAAGCACTAATCATGATTGTGACTAAGAGGGAACAACACATCATTGGTTATTTCCTTTGAGAAGGATTTTGTGTAACATCTTTAGATAAAAGTAAAACTGCAAACCTGTGTTTATGTGGGCACAGAGAGCTAAACAATTTCCTTCCATTTTAATAGGCTCTTTCATTCACCTCCTACAATAAGAACTGTATCTATTTGCATTTCATTTTGTGTGTTTCTGTTTGGAGCAGATGCAGTTTTAGAACTGGCAATTTTGAATGAAACCTTCTGCCAAAATAAAATAAGCTAACACAGGGGAAACACCCGCCCCTGACTGACCAGTGCCAATTCAGTTTCAGCCATTTCATCTAGGAACCAAAAAGCATCACGTTTCCTTGCACTCTGGGAACAATACGCAGCGTGAATAGAAGGTTACAAGGGAAGAGACTGTAATTGATTCTGAAGAGCATGAACATCTGCCAAGAAGGTATTGTAGAAGAAAATGACCCCGAGGGTCCTACTTACGGAACAGTTTCTAGCTGCCCGACAGAAATGACCCTCTCTGCCCTACTTCTTCCTTTCAAAGGCCACACTCTACCAGGGAGAGGGAGCCTGCAGATGCTGGGAGCTACTTTCTAAAATGATGAAACAAATAGAAATAGGTGCAGAGTAGAAGACTTCAAAAAACTAAACATGTCCCAGGGGTGATGAGTTGAAGGGCAAGATGGCAAAAGTCAGGAAATGATGTTCTAGCCCAAATTCTATCATTAAATATGAATAGGGTTGTGGCCAAGTCCATTCATTTCCCTGGGACTCAAGCTCCTTGACTTTGACAGGGAAGGGCCGGGGCACCGCCCCTTATGGGTGTGGTCTAGGATTTTTAACAGCTTAACCTTCTCTGCCAGAAGTCTCAGATTTTCCGCTGTAGGAGAAAAATAACAAAATTCCTAACACAAGTGATTTAAGAACATCAACATTTATTTTAACATGATAAAAAAGAAATGAGATATGAACATTTGCATTTAAACAATAGTAAGTAGCCTTTAATACATTACATGTGCTCATTGTATAATATATACACAATGAACATAATTACATTTGTACACAAACTAAGTACTGGATTTGAAAACCTGCTTATTGCTGTACACATCTATCCCAATGAAGTATAAGCCCAGTACTTCAGAATACCTACACTTTTGTTTTATTATTTTTTAAAAGAAAAACTAAGCGTAACATTTGTGTTTAAGTTGACAAGAGCGTGGCAGTAACTGCTGACATTGCAATCTAAGAAACAATCGTAGCAGAAAGTGGGACGTATTTCACTTAGCAATAATAAAATGGCACATTTTAAATATATATATAAAATTTTTTACAAATCAAGTGTGAAACAAAGCACTGCAGTAGCCAAAATGGGGAGGAAAAACAGAAAGAGAGAGAAACATGTTTTATTGGAAGTAACAGCTAAACTTATGTCCTGAAAAGTAAAAAGAAATATAAATTCACTTAGACTTAAGGGACATCAAAAGCTGGAAATTGGCAACTAAGTAAGCTCTGGCTGTGGACTGCACGGTAAAAGCACCGTTACTCGTGTGCTCTGAAATCATAGCAGCAGGCTGGTGTGGCGGAACAACCTTGACATTGTGGAGTGTACATATGGGCCGTTAAAGCTGTTTCGGAATAAACATTTTCCAAAAGTGATAAAAGGATGCTCTCTGTGGCCAAAAGCATCGGAACTATGAATTTCATAGATTTAAAATATACTGTACAAGATTCTTCTCACGCTGCCACAGGTCCATGTCCTTAGCTTTGAATGGTTTCAACAGAGGTCGGTATAGCTGAAAAACAGGAGAAATTACTTTGACACCTGCAAAGTGCATGACTGGCCACTTTCCAAAATAACCGAGGGTGACATTCTCTAACAATAGAACTGACAAGCGTGGCCAGGAAAATCCGCAAGCACAATACAATTAACGGACATTTCTACCATTTCCATAAGCTCAGTTCACAAAGCAAAGAAACATAATGCCATTAAATAGCAATTCAGAATCAAACACAGACCCAAATGTGTGGCTGAATCCAAAAGGTCAACAAAACGAGCAAAGATTTGCATAATTTCACTAAAAGATGCAATATTGCATTGAGCTGACAGCAGCGCCATTTGCCCAGCCTTCCTAAGTCCGACAAAAACCATTCGTTGAGAATGACGGCCCGGGACAATGGGGAGTTATAAAATAATTCAGAGTTGTGTGCTGCTAGTGGTCACAGTGGCTGCGTGGCCGGAGATGAGAACGTGACAGCCAGTATGTGAGCTCACTCACTGCCTCTCAGGGTCAAAGTATTTAAGGCAAAACAAAATTCTCTTCATAACTTAAGAAACCTGGATATGCACGTGAGCTTGCACTCTGACCATTATTTCTTATCAGAATGCTCTGTGCACAATACATCGTAACTGCTTACTGAATGACAAAATTAACAGGAGAGTGGTGCCTGACGGATAGTTGCCCCCAAACGAGCACCTCTGCCAAGGCCATATCTCAACTCTGCACAGGAGGAGTCAGAGGAACGTCAAGTTTGCCTGGTGTTATGCTGTCACCGGTGGCAACAGTCACTTCTTAGTGTATTAAGTTAAAAGTTTGAATGTGTGAGTGACAGAAGCAAGGGTGTAACAAATGGGCCGTTTTTAGCTCTAGCAAGAACTTCCAATTGTGCATAGGTATCAAGTGACAGAGAGAAAAGGCTCTTTCCTAGGCTCCCGGAAGACTGAACTTCAAATGAAAGAGGTTATCATAACAGGCGATAAATTTGGCAAGACAGGGCAACCTAAATCTTTCTGGCAAAAGAAAGAAAGAAAACGATCTAAGTTGTAGGTTGCAGTTTGAAACCCCCTGCCAGTCCACAGGAGAAAGAGGCGGCTTTCTGCTCCTGGGAAGAGTTGCAGTCTGGAAAACCCACCTACACTCTGTCCTGAAGGGTCGCTGTCAGTGGGAATGGATTTAATGGCAGGGAGTTTATGAATTTACAGCAAACTGGTCAAGGTAGTATTGCAACTCACTTATTTTGATGATTAAAAAAAAAAGTCAAAGAAGACTAAAAGTATAAAAAAATCAAATCAATATCATTAAATAAGAATGCTCATAATGCCTGTATTTCCACAGTTTATATTTGTTTGAAAGACACTGCTGATAACTCTAAAGCACCAAATGTTCCCAGATCTGGTAGAAAACTGCGAGGAACAAATAAACAACAACAACAACAAATCACAGGAAGAGGTGCAAAATCCTCATGCTACACCTCACAATTTTTCTTCAAAGTAAAAAACAAAGTATTTTTCGTACTTACAAAATTGCACAGAAAAAACCTCGTCACTGCCTATCAGTTTTCAAAGTGAAGATCTTAGGGAATCATTCTCAGTTCTCCAAGTGTAGCTCCCAGAGCCTTCTTGAGAAAAGGCTTCCTCTCTCTCCCTCCTCACCCCTCTCGCCCGCTTTTAAGATGGTCTCTTCAATAGCAGCTCCCTCCCTCCCTGACTTGGAAGTCATTTCTGATGGCTCTTAAAAGATTTCAATATTCCACCAAGGCGGCTAGACCATAGTTCTTTATCCTGTAAAATAATTCTAAAACTTGCAATGAGGTAGCCACATCAGGCTACCTGTAAAACACACTCTGAGGCCAGCTCCAACCTTGTAATGAGGTGAGCAGATTTCTCAGCTCAGACTGCGGAAGGAACGCTACGTGGAAGCACAGCAGCACACACTGTCAGGTTTGTCTTGGCCACAACACACCTTCCAAGTTCTGCTGTTTTTACAGATGATGAAATGAGAGACTGAAAATGCTGTCACACAGAGAAGGGCCAACGTTGGAAAGCTGAGTAGCTGCCCACGGTTCACACCCATGGCCTGCTAGTGCTGCCAACTATCCCTAAAGCTCAGCCCAGAATTAATCCCAATTTTTATCCATCAAACCAACAAAGGAATAAAACCCAGCCGAGACCCTGTCACCAACCAGATGGTCTTGCACGAAGGGGAAGGACGTACTTGTTTTGAGACTACACACACATGAAATGCGATCCCTCTGTGAGCTGGGGCTGAGTGGACGGGCCTGGTGATGCCGAGGGCTCCGGTGGTGGGGGCAGACCTTTCCCTAGAACACAGCGAGAAAACGGGAGAAGATGAAAACCATGAAGATCCGCATCATCAAGGAGGAAATGCTGAGCTCTGAAGAACGTTTGTGGAAGGAATCTGATTTTCTAATGGTGTAAAATGGTAAGACGCTTCTTTTCCTCCTGTTTGATGTTAATTTCCAGGGGTCTGTCAGGAATCTCTCCTGTACCTCTCATCCTATCTGACTTTTAAAAGCGTAGTTTCTAGCTCCATGTCGGGAAATAATGAAAACCAAACAAAAGAGCAAGATACACAAACAAATCTACTGCCACAGAGCTGACGGCAAGGCAGGGAGACCCCATGTGTCAGGGTGGAACTGTGCTCCATAGGGCTTTCAATGGTGGATCTGGGGAAATGGCAGATAGCCAGGCCTTTCTTTCACTGTACCTCTGGGAGATTCAAAACGTTAACCTGGCTGTCAGACAAGGGTGCTACCTGTTTATACCACCCAGGGGCTCCTGCTAAAGTCCGGGCGGTTAAAACCAACACATTGCCTTTATCCAGGCTTGCTCTAGATAACGAATAAAGTGGCCAGTAACAATAATAAAAAGGGAACTTCCGTGCACACTGCCTTATAAATGCCAGAAGCAAAGGAAAAACACAACAAAACAGAAACTGGCTGACTCCTAGTGATGCCCTGTGGCTTTCCCAGACTACAACTGCTTATGGGAGTAGAAAGTCCACTCTCTCCTGTGGAACCACTGGTGGTTTTGAACTACATGATTCAGCCCAACATGTAACCAGCAAAGGAAAAGGCAGTGTATAGTAACTGCTACAAGGAAATGTGACTGATCATATCAATGTGCACATTGTATGCATACAATACAATAAAGCCTGAACCTTCGTGATCTTAAGAACAGAGTAGCTGTGCGTAACTGAATATCATGTACTTGCCCTTTTCTGCAGAAAGGATGGGGTGAGCAGCATTACTGGGAATGATACTTTACTTGTGGATTGAAGGAGCAAAGCTTATAATCTAGAAATGGCACGAACCCTTTCAAAAAAGGGGAGAAGGCAAAATGACAAGATTGAAAGAAAAAAAAGGCAGAATAGGATAAAATGACTTAAAAAAACCCTAAAAGCACAGTCTCTGGAGCACGGTTTCTGTGATAAAAACAAAAAAACAAAACCTGGCAACAATGCAGAGATGGGTTCTAGCAAGTGCCAGTTTGAAGAGTCATTCTTGCTCAGCTCGGTGCACAGACTGCTCCATCTTTCTTCTGTGGAGTGCTTGGTGGGTTTGAACCACCCACCTTTGGTTAGCAGCAGAAGGAAGGCTGTATTGACCATGCCACCAGGGCTCTTCTTACAAGAGGGTCTCTATGAGTCGGGTTGACTTGATGGCAGTGGATCTGGGTTTTTTTTGGCTAGTACACACACATTCATCTTATGACTTCAGATATTAAATTGTCCAGTTCCCAGAGAGGTCAATTTGTGAATGCTCTTAAGAATGAAGTAGGAAAAAAAAATCGTGGTGTGTACCGAAATTTTTTTAATAAATGAAAAAGGATAAGATGGTGATTTCAAAACATGGGTCCCTAAGCCAGAGGACCAGCTGGCTAGGCTGTTGTAACCCTCTCCTCTTTCCCAGGTACGTCCCCTCAGGAGAGTGCGTGTGGGAAAGCAAAGGCTGAGCAATCTGCAGTTATGTACGTAAGTAGCTCCCTGACTAGGATCTCCGCCTTGAAAAAGTAATCAGGTGCCCAGAGGAGCACAAAGGGAAAAATGAGGGAATGTTTGCTCCCTACCTGCCATTGACTGGTTTCCTGTAGAAGCCTCAGGAGTTAGCTCATAGGAAGTTACAGTTTCTTCCTGTGTATGTGCATTGTCCTTTGCATGCTCTTCCGAGCGGTCGTCTGGCGTAGGGTTTGTGATCCACGCTACATCTTGGGGACTGCTGCAATAGAGCAAGAAAAAAAACTTGCGGCAAAATGTGGCATTTGCCATTTCAACCATTTCTACATGTATATTTCAGCAACATAAATTACATTCACCAGATTTTCCAACCTTGATTACCATCTACCTCCAAATGTTTTTCTTTTTTTTTTCATGCTCTTCATTTATTGAGCTGAAATAACTGAAGGAAAAATGTAAGAATTGAGTTGCAACATTGAAGGATTACATGGGCAAGATACCAAATGACAAAGGAACATTAAAAAGCTGGAAGGAATAGAGAGTCACTGTACCAAAAAGAATTGGTTGGTGTTCAGCCATTCAGATGGGAATCATACAGTCAAAAACCTAGGGTCTTGGAGGAATAAATCCAAGCTGCATTGAAGGCCTTAAGGAAAAACATAGCTCCAGAAATTAGATGCCAGTTGAGATGTTTCACAAATGGATGCAACTCTTATTTTTCT